TCTAGAGACCTCTCATCCCCTACTTCCAGTACAGACATCCTTTGGTCATATTCATTACCCATATACTTTTCTACTTCTGTATGAAATTTATGCAATATTTCATGTAATAGTCCCTAGAGGGGATGAAGGGCGCCTGTCCTATACAGTCTTTAGCTGCTGGTCTTGGAATGAAGAAGGCTTAAACTTGACTCCCACCTCTGATGCTTACTAGCTGAGTGACCTTAAGCCAGTTATATATTCTCTGAGCATCTTCAAAATATAAATAATAATAACTGTAGCACCTCCTTTCCAAGGCTGTTGTAAGATTTAAAACTTAAGGCACTATAAAGTAGCAATAATAATAATAGTAATAATAATAAAATAGGTAGCATTTATATAGCAGTTTAAGAGTTTGCAAAGTGCTTTATATATTTATATATGTCATGTATTTGTATATTACATATTTACATATAATAGAATATATAAGAATTATATAATGTATTATATGATAATATAACATTATATATTTACATATACTACAGGTTATAATTATATATTATATCATATAGCATGCATTATATATATCATTATGCATTTATTACATAGTAATATATTTTATGTTTACATACTGAACAGATTATATATTTATTTTATGTTGTATAGAATATATTATATAGATAGATTATATATATTTATATTTTCTATATCTCATTTGATCCTTAATCATCCTGTGAGGTAGGTGTCATTATCCTCTTTTAATAGATGAGGAAACTGAGGCTGAGAATGGTTACATACATGACTTGCCTATGGGCACAGGCTCAAAATTCTGAAGCAGGATTCAAATTCAGGTCTTCATGTCTCTGAGGCTGGCATTCTATCATACACCCTAATTTCCTTAAATGTATTTGACATTATTATTTATACACCAATGACAGAAGAGATATCAGTTCTCTTGGGAGAAATCTTAGCATGTCATTAGCCTGGTAGTAAATTATAATTTATATCATTACATGCTTCATCATACACTTTTCAGGTATATTCCCTTTATTGAACTGTCTTCTTCTCTGGTGGCTCTTCTAGAAGTAAAACCTAGCAGGGAGAAGATTCAAGAAGAAACAAAGTAATATTGTACATGGGGCTATATCCCATTTCCCGTGCAAATGATAAAGTTAATTTCTTTTCCCTACAAATGCTGTGCTGTGGGTTAGTTCTGCTGACATTTCTACATGACTGCAAATCCTAGCAACCTAGACTGAATAAAGTCAGAATGAACCTAAGCAAGCATCTGCTAAAACTCTGTGTACAGAAGAGTGGCTAGTTCAGAATTCTTCTCTATTCTTTTTCAGTATCTGACCCAAAAGAACATTTTACTAGACTTTTATCTCTAAGCCATTTATTGGCTAGAGAACTCCAGTGTGTCCTACAAAATCCACTTGGTCATTTTCTATTACTGTTATCACATAGCAGTTTTCCATCACCATTTAAGCAGGAACGGGTGCTGTCAAGGGTGAGGTGAAGCTCAAATGAAATAATGCATGTAAAGCATTTTGAAAACCTTAAAGAGCTATATAAATGCCAGTTAATATCATTAATAATAATAGCTATTATTATTAGTATTATCACCAGAATCTGATTTGGTGATTGACTTCATTCACTGAACCTTCTATTGCATTTCTGCTGAGCTCATGCAAAGTTCATAGAGCAATTCACGGGTGTGCTGGTAGATATTTTAAAACTAGGCTCCTAAAAAAGCTATCACCTGTTCTTAAATTTAATCTGCATTGTTAACACTTTTTTTTTTTTGGTGAGGCAGTTGTGGTTAAGTGACTTGCCCACAGTCACACAGCTAGTAAATGTTATGTGTCTGAGGCTGGTATCAACACTTTTAAAGTCTAGAAATCAATAAAGGAATAAATCATTTCATGATTTATGGCTATTGTTGATTTCTAAAGTGTGAGTACTCACATTGAAAATTTAACACTCTCTCAAAGATGGTTAGAGCTGACTGCAGCAAACCCCTGGGTATAGTTCAGATACCTTAAAATGTAAATTTCCAACCTTATTCCATAAGCTGTGGAGTAATTTAATGTGATTTATTCCCAAAAAAGGTATATGTGTGTATACATAAATATTTGTATACATATACATAGCATGAGGTTTTGCTGGATTCGAATTCTGCTTTTGAGATTTATTACCTGTAAAACTTTGGGGTAATCACATAGCCTCCCCAGACATCAATTTCCTTAGCTTTTTAGCATTTTACAATGAGAAGATTAGACTTGGTGACCTCTGTTGTCCCTTCCAACTCTAAATCTATGATCTGACAAACCTCTTTCTATTTTTCCATTTTTTTCCCTTCTTCATATAGTTGGTATCTAATTTACTAGTACCTGCTTCTCATATTCTGACTCACAGCAGGATTGCAAGAGAAGGGATGTATTTGGGAGGGAGGTGCTGTGGCTGCAGCCTACAAATCCATCATGTTGGCTTCCCCACTGAACACTAAGGTAACATCTTCACCCTATAGAGACGTAAGAATATTAGCTGTAGTGTGATCTGGCTACTTGAGGTGCCCCATCAAAGTAAAGAGATGAGAGTGAAGTGAGTAAGTAGTGTTTGCTACTTACTCTGACGCTGTCTGAGTAATCTAAGTTCAGGGCCATTGGTTGAATTTGTGATGTCTTTTTCATTGTCAATACAGGAACTTGACGTAGGAAGTAGAAATGTCTCATTTTTAGTGTAGAATGGAAGTTCAAAATATGTACAATGCTTTTGGAAATAAACCTTAGCATAAATGATGAATACTGTTTCTGTGGCAATATTTTACAAAATAAAACGAAGTTAAGTGTAGTTTAGGCTCTGAGACTAATCTCCTGCACATACTAGCAGGTTGGATTCCCAGATATCAATTGACTATTTTCCCCTTAGTGGTCTTGGGGTAATCCTGAGATGCTGGGGACATCTGTCTAATGTTATTGCTCACAAGTCTTCATCAGCATTCTTAACCTATTATTTTTCATTGATGTCAATTTTCCAGTCAAGGTTAATTAGCTTTTAGTTAAAGGTATTTACTAAGATGTATATTAAGAGCAATTGGTAAAAATATCCCTACAAACTCCATTTGTTGTTGTTGTTCAGTTATGGCCAACTCTTTGTTACCCCATTTGGGGTTTTCTTGGCAAAGATACTGCAGTGGTGTGCCATTTCCCTCTCCAGCTCATTTTACAGATAAGGAAACTGAAGCAAACAGGGTTAAGTGACTTGCCAAGGGTAACATGGTAATATAGTTAGGAAGTGTCTGAAGCCAGATTTGAATTCAGGTCTTCCTGACTCCAGGACCTGCACTCTATCTACTGCACCACCTAGCTGCCCAAACTCCATTCTCTTCCACAAATACATATGGAATCTAAGGGAAATTGGGTTCAAGCTTAGAAAGCACATGTGGCAAAAGAATAACACAACTCCTAGATGTGTTGAAAGTCTTTTATTCCTCTTTGTGGGCTCCTCACAAAGATTTTCTTAGGCATAATATAGCTTTGCGCCGGGATCCCTGTAAAATTCTGAAATTGAACTTCCTTATTGTGTCTAGTTTGTCTTCTGTTCCTAATGTAGACAATGCTGTTAGGCAGTGGTGTTGTGAGGACATTGCTAATACATCCATAGGAAGTTCAGAAGCTTTCAGCTTTTCAAATTTGTAAGATTATCCTCTGGTCAAGGGAGGGAAAGGATGCCCACCCCCACGCCTAACCTCAAGGAATTCCTTTTCAGGGACTTGGATGAAGGTGCTTCTATCAAAGGGCTGGCTTGACACTGAGTGTCAGTGGGTGGAGTCCTGGGTTTCTTTTCTCAACCAAGTCCAGTGCACTTCCAATGTAATGTCATTTAAGTTCATTTTACAGGTTTCACTCCTTCCAGATTGATTAATGAGGTTTTTGCCTGATGTAATACCTTCGATTAATTGATTCAGTATTAGTGTTCTTACCTGACAAAGGTATCAGGGCCAGGACATCTTGTTAGTTAACTTTGAGTGAGATGGAGTAAATGATAAATTGAATCAAATTCCCCCCCTCCCTTGCCTCTCCCTGCTGGGGAGGAGGGTGCCCCACCAAGAAACGTGCGTCCCTGGAGAAATCATTCATTTTGGAAGTAAATCATAAGTGAGTACTATCTTAAGTTAACATCATATATTCATTTTAAGAAAGGATTTTCTTTATTTTTATAAGGACAAAGCCTGGATACTTAATACTTTGAATAAATAGAATGTCATGGAAAATATCAGGATTAAGGGATCTTCAAAAACCTAGTGCTTTAAAAATGCTATGGTAAAACTGTGGTTCTTGCTGCATATTTCTAGTAGAAACTTCCTAATACATTTATGTATAGAATAATCTTCATGGGACAGGTTCTTAGGAAAAGCTAGGCTAGCCCCCATGGCAGGGAACTCTAGTGGATAATATTGCTTTTAGCATCCAAACAATAGAGGTTTAAGAGAGAGAGAGAGAAAGATATGTGTGTGTGTGTGTGTGTGTGTGTGTGTGTGTGTGTGTGTGTGTGTGTGTGTGTATATATATATATATATATATATATATTTTTTTTTTTTTTGCCTTTCATTGTGGAGAGAGTTAAATTGTGCTTGGGGAGCTAATTAAGGAGAATCAAGTGAAAAAACCTACTCAAAACAAATTGTCATTAAAGTACCATTATATAAAACAAATACGACTTAAGAATTTCAAAACTGATCATCAATGTTGCTATTATAGTATAAATTGTTTTCCTGTTTCTGTTTATTTCATCATTGTAAGTGAATCATCTTTTCCCCATTCCACTTTTTTTTGGAACACCATAAACATATAAAGCATCTTATAGATTTTTCAGTGGACCATTATGACACCACCAGCATCTGAGAAGCAAGTTTATTTACTTCTTGTGATCCTGATAAGTTTGTTATACCTCACAGTTCATAATTATAAAGAGCAGTATATGGAAAACATAGCTTTACTGTTTTGTTTTTATTTTAACAGAGTCAAGATGATTTGGCTATGGTGCAACAGAGTACAGGGAGTCCAACATACTTTTGGATTATTGTTTAGAAAAAATTATGCCTCCAAGAAAACCCTTCCAGTACTGACCCTGTTCACAAAGGTAATGCATTTTGGTAGAGATACTAACAGAAAAAATATGGACACATTCTAGAAGGAAAAATTAGAGCATAAAGAAGGAACAGAGTAGAGTAAATTTTTCCCATTCTAAGGTTTTTATATCTTAATTTGCCAGTTAGTATATTAGGAAAAGTTCTTGCTCATATATCTCATGTCCCTCAATTCTGAAAGAGTAAATTCATGAGATTTTGATCCAAATCTCATTTGTGCCAGACTTCTCTCTAATTTTCCCAGAAGTCTTTGTCAAACAATGAGTTCATTGGTAGTAGTCTTTGAGAATATTGAACACTAGGCTACTGAGTAAATACCTTTGCTTTTGTAAATAATCTGCCTAATCTGTTCCACTGACCAACTTTTCTGTTTTACCCAGTGTCAAATAGTTTTGATGATCACTGTTTTGTAGTGTCATTTGATATATGCTACTTCTAGGCTCTTGTTATCTTCTCACTTTTTTTTCCAGTTATTTCTTCTGAGAATCTTGACTTTTTTTTCCCTTCACATGAATTTTGTGATTATTTTTTCTAGATCTTATCAAAATAATATTTTGATTTTTTCAGTCCTGTGCCTATTAAAGTGATAATTTTATAGTTTGGCATAGGAATGAATTAATAAATTAATTTAGGTAGTATTATCATTTTTATTTATCATTTATTATACTTATTATATAAGTTATATGATTAATTTAATATATTATATTATGTTATATATTAATGAGCTATATAATGAGCTGGAGAAGAAAATGGCGAACCACTCTAGTATCTTTGCCAAGAAAACCCCTAATGGAGTCACAAAGAGTTGGTCATAACTGTACAACAAATGGAGTTTGTAGGGCTATTTTTACCTATGCTAATTCTTCAGTTACTTTTTCTTGTTATATTGTTATAGCTAGTATTTCTAGCCCTGTCAAATAATAGTGGTGATAATAAACATCCCTGTTTTACCACTAAACTACTTGAAAATACTTCTATTTTATCACCATTACATGTAATTCTGGCTCTTGGTTTTAAATGGAAAAGATTTACCATAATTGGGCAAAATCCATTTAGTCTTATGTTATTCAATTTTTAAAAAAACAGAAATGGCTGTTGTCATTTTCCAAAAGCTTATGGTGTGTTTTTTTTTTTTGTGAAATCAAATGCACGAGAGAGAGAGATTATGGTTATAATGAGACCCAAAAGAAACTGACATCTTAACTTTCAGTTGGTCCCAATGTATATGTCGCTTCTACACTCAGTTGCAACCTAATTTTCAGCTGAAGTATCCAAAAACTAAAACAAAACATAAAATAAATTTGATAACCCTTAAAAAGAAAAAAAGTACATTCAGCAGTTGGAGACAGAGCTTTCAGGTTTTAAGCGCTGTGCAGTGAAGCCTGAGAGGCAGCTGATGGAGCTGGTTCCAGTGCAAGTAAAGGGATCTATTCTAATGAGAATGGGAAACCTGTATGGTTTCTGACCCAGAGGTTCTATTGCATCCCACTGAGATCAGAGCCAGGAAGATACTGAGGAACTCATACTGGTAGCTCTTTAAAAAGCCTGTACTGTCTTATTATTGCTCTCAGGATTTTCTTCATTGAGGGAGCAGGGGTCAGGGCAGCCTTTTACCACCAAGGAACTGGACAGGTTACATCTTAAGTTCACCCAGAAATGTGATGAATCATTAGACCAGTGGCTTCTGAGGGTATATGCTGTTGGGTTTAATGTTGGGATTCTCTCCATAGCTGAGTTTCCATAAGCTTGGGGAGCTCTCTGGAACTTAAAAAGTCAGCTAAGTCAATTAAAGTCTCCAGATGGAGAGTACCTTTTGTCCGTTTGTGGATGGCTGAGATGAGAACAGTTCCTATTTCATCTAGCTACCAATGGGGATCTGCAAGGGATGTGGTAAAGTTTCTAAAAGAAATGGGTTTGATAGAATTGATCTATCCTTACCCCAACATACACACAGCCTGCCATACCCTATTACCAGACTGCTCCAGGGACAATTAGATCCTACCTTTTAGGTAGAGTCCCACCAAAATAGCTTCAGACTTTAATTCTGGGTCTCCACTTCCACACAAGTAGATAGGTCTAGACAGAAGAGCTAGTGAAATTTCCATAGATTCTTGTGGCCTGAGCAAATATTGTTGTCAGTACAAATAAGCACCCCCCGTTATGTGACAGAGAAAGATGATAGAGGCCATGAGCGAGCTTTGAGTTGTGACTCCTGAAACATGGGATTGGTAAGAAAACAATTGATGGCCAGCATATGAGAATGCTAATAAAACTATATAAGGAAATTCATCGTTAGTGCCATAGGGTACTTCATCACTGTCTAAGACTGAGGCATCTTATAAAGCTCCTTCTCCATTTGGATCATTATGGGGAAATCATGGAGGGAAGGGGTATCATGGACTCTTGAGAGTCATTATCTATATGGGTCATTTCAACAACTCTGCAGGTTACCATAGGTAGAGTCAAATGGAAATCTTTAGTCTCCTGAACCATCCTATGTGATTGACACCAAACAATGTTGGGTCTCCAGGAAGGTGAAAGGTGTTTCTTCTTTAGTTACAGAGATGAAAGAAACTGGAGATTTTGTTATACCAGTTCCTCTTAGAGCAACCCTGTGTTACCTGTGAGGAAGGCAGGTGGCACTTGTCAGCTTACTGTGGATTATAAAGAGCTGAACAGAGCTATCTCTGTAGCTTTCCTGATCTCAGTAATGATGTAGGCAGGAAGCTTACACCCAGCATCAGTGTTATGGGGGGGAAGGGAAGGGAATAAGCATTTATGTGATACCTTCTGTGTGCTAAGTGCTTTTACAAATATCCCATTTGATCCTCACAACAAGCCTGCAAGGTATGTGCTATTATTATCCCATTGTACAATTGAGGAAACTGAGGCAAACAGGTTAAGTCACTTACCCATGGTTACATAGCTACTAAGTATCAAAGAATGGATTTGAACTCAGGTCTTCCTGATTCCAGGCAGTGTTTCACCAGTGGCCTTCTATAGGGTTATTGACCCCACCAATACCTTTCCCCTACCTCTATTCCTGTAACTGAGTTTTCTTTAACCTGCGAAGGAGAGCTAGAGGTGTCAGGCCAACCCCTAGCAGTATCAGTTGATGCAAGTCTTCACTCATTTCTTTGAAACTGTGCCTTTCATCATTTATTATGCCACAATGGCAGCCCAAAACATTCATGTACTGTAATTTGTTCAGCCATTCCCCAATTTATGAGTACCCCGTTAGTTTCCAGTTCTTTGTCACCATAAAAATAGCTGCTATAAATCTTTTTGTACATATAGGTCCTTTCCCTCCCTATTTCATCTCTTTGGGGTATAGCACTAGTAGTGGTATTGTTGGATCAGAGTTTTGTTTTTCTTTTTTCTTTTACAGTAGAGTTAGGTGAAGTCAGGAGATAGAACAGAAAAAATAAATGCTTGTTAATTTTTAAAAATGAAATAAAATAATCTGGAATATACGTAATGTCTAAAAGTAAGTAATTCTGTGTGTAGAAAATAACCTCTGCTTTCGACAAAATGCAATATAAGGCTTTTCACTAGACTGCTATAAATTAATCAATCTTTAAAACAAATTGAATATGAATGACATTCATCCTTAGAAATCATACCAGTTATTTTCATGAGGTCTTTGAAGGGTTTAGGTTCTTCTTAGAAATTATTGTGCATTTCATGCTACAGTGTACGTAAGCTTTATATGTTTTTAGGGAGGGAGAAGAGAGAGATGAGCAGAGATGACAGAGTATGAGAAAGCAATACAGCCCACTTTTCTCCCACAATTATTCCAACATAGATTGAGGAAGTTCAGCAGAATGAATAGGGATCAGCAAATCCAAGGAGAAACCAAAGTGGGTCATTTTCAGGGAGGAGATTGAGCCAGGCAGAGCCTGCAGGACAGGACAGTCTAGAGGCTAGGGCAGTGTACCAGGGCAAAGATCAGTGGCAGATGCAGTGCAGACAGGGCATGAGGATATGTACTATGAAGGGAGCAGAAAGGAGCAAATCTGTGTCTGTATCTTTCTGACCTTGTTCCAGGATAAACTAAAATTCCTGGAAGAAATGAAGTAATCTTTTAGAAATCATAGCTGTAGAGGAAAGAATTAGGGGAAAAAATGAGAGCACTAAAGCAAAGACTTGGCAGAATTAACGGCTTACTAGAAAAGATACTATAGATCCTTATATGCTAGTTACAGAATTCTTGAAAAATTAGAGTGAACCAAACAGATATTGATGATTCCATGAGAGATCAAAAAATATTGAGAAAAAAAATTGAAAAATTGAAAAAAGTAGAAAAAACTGACCTCTTGAAAATTTCGTTAGTAAGGCAATCACAGTAATGAAAGAGGGGACGTGTAAATCTGATAGGTGAATGTAGAGTAGAAGGGGTGATGATAGAAGGCACCATGGCACAGTGAGAAAAGGACTGGATTTTTTGTGTAACAGCTTTATTTTTCTCTTCTGTTTCAGGATCCATGTCCTCTTTGTGATGAAGCAAAAGAAGTCCTCAAGCCGTTAAAAAACAGGGTAATATATGTATATATAAAATATAATATGCTTTTAATGTATACCTTATATGAATTTCTTTCTTTGAAAAAGAACATTAAATAATTCCCCCCTAATTTCCTTTGGTTTTTTTTTATGTATTTTTGATGCTAAATTTCTTAAAATTCATTAAATTTAAGAGTACTAATTTTCTTGTACTATGACTCTTGGTATTAAAAATAAACTAAAATGAACTGTTAGGGGCAATGTTAGTGCTTTTTAAAAATCTTTATCCTTATTGCCTTGATGCCTTTATGTGACAGATCTTTACATTTCCTGAATTTACATTCAGAAACACTCCTGGTTTTCAGGAGATGATCTATTCAGGGCATAGTTTGTTCTGACAGGAAACTATGAGCCCTGCAAATGAATGTGGAACAAGTGAACCAGAAATGTAACTGGTTCAGGGTGAAAATGACCTAGGTGTGGAGATGAAGGACATTTACCAAACTGTGAACCGAAGAAACCACTCAGCATCAGATATGCTGGTAGTAGCTGGCTATCATGCAGTAAGCCATAAAGGTCATTCTTTGTAATTTTCCATTTTTATTTCTTCCAGTTTATTTTGCAAGAGGTGGACATCACTCTTCCAGAGAATTCAGCTTGGTATGATAGATACAAGTTTGACATACCTGTCTTTCATTTGAATGGTCAGTTCTTGATGATGCATAAAGTAAATTTCTCAAAGCTTGAAAAAAATCTGAAGAAACTTGAACAGCAAAATAACTGAAGTTGACTCATACCAAAGTGGTTTTCCCACGTTATGTAAATGTAAAATTCCTCAAGAATGTGACCAGGACTACGTAGTCTTCTAGGAGTGAAATGACCAGGTTTGGCCTCAAAGAAGAGATAAGACAACTCCTCCCACAGCTTTGTAGAAATGGAAGACCATGGATGTGTAAAACTATGTATAATTACAGACTTTTTTGATATGTTGTTTAGTTTTGTGAAACTATTTTTTTCTTTATACTTTTTTAAATAAGGGGTGGCTCTCTGGGATTGGGTGGGGAAGGAATATAGTAGGAAATACAGTTCATATAAAAACAATATATTAAAAACATTTTAAGTTTAGACCACATGCAGATGAATAACCAGAAAGGATCCTAAAACTAGAGGGAAAGATGAGTACTAAACTCTAAAAGAGAGTGCAAGACAAAGGAAAGTGAACCAATGCCAGAAGAAGCATAGAACCCTGTGAAATCCCAAAAGGCAATAAAACAATAAGAAGTTCCAGAATGATTCAAAAAAGAAGTGAAATCCATCAGAAAAGCAAATTTAGGAAGGGGAAAAAGTCAGAATTCATAGTTTTCAGAGCAGAAATAATTAGCCTATTAGAAAAAAGTTAACAAATGATGGCAAGTTTCTCCAGTCCAGCAAAAGAATAACAGATTTGGGATACAAAACAAAACAAAAAAAACCGATGTCGACAGGTATTTGTTAAGAATCAGTTATGTGCCAGGCACTGCACTAAAGCACTAGGGATACAAAGAAAGGCCAAAAAAAAAAATCTAATGGAGGAAGCAACAGTTAAACGACTATGTATAAATAATATGTAAACAGAATAAATTGGAGAGAGTCTTAGTGGGAAGACACTAGAATTAAGGGAGATTGGGAAAGACTTTTCACAGAAGGTAGAATTTTATTGGGACCTGAAGTAAGTCAGGGAAGCCAAGACACAAGAGATAAAGAGAGAGAGAATACCAAGCATGGGAGATGGCCAGTGAAAATTCATAGTCAGGAGATAGTGTCCTATGAGTGTGACAGCAAGGAGGCCAATGTCACTGGATTGAAGAGTACATGGAGGGAGTGTTGAGACTGGAAAGGTAATAAGGGTCCAAGTTATAAGGGGTTTTAAAAGCCAAACAGAATTTCATATTTGATCCTGATAGGGAAGTATTTCAATAGCCCAGGGATGAGGCATTCGGGGCCTGAATCAGGGTGGCGGCAGGGTGGAGAGAGAAGGGGGTGAAAGATGTATATAAAAAATGAAAACGGGGCAGCTAGGTGATGCAGTGGAGAGAGCACCAGCCCTGGAGTCAGGAGGACTTGAGTTCAAATCCGAACTCAGACACTTACTAGCTAGCTGTGTGACTCTGGGCAAGTCACTTAACCCCCATTGCCTCAAAAAAAAAGAAGAAGAAGAAATAACAAAAGCAAAATGGGTAAGACTTGGCAACTGACTGGAGATGGGGAGTGAAAGAGTAAAGAGTCAAGAAGACACCTAGGTCTCAAGCCTGGCTGAGTGGAAGGATGATGGTGCTTTTGACTGTAACAGGAAAATTTGTAAGAGGGGGAAGCCTTGGGGAAAAGATAATGAGTTCAGTTTTGGACGAGTTTGAGTTTAAGATGTATACGTGATATCCAGTTTGAGATGTCCAGTAGGCAGTTTCACATGTGAGATTGGAGGTTGGAAGAGAGGTTAGGACGATTAGCAGGCTTGACCTGGATGAAGACTCAGCAAAAGAAACTAAGAAGTAGTGGTAAGAGGAGAACTAGGAGAGATCAGTGTCAAGAAAATCTAAAAAGAAGAGCATGTCAAGGAGAAAATGGTAATCAACAATGTCAAAGGTTGCAGAGAGGAAAATGCCATTTGGCATTGAAGAGATCATTGGAAACTTTGGAGGGAGCAGTTTCAGTTGAATGATAAGGTTGGAAGATGGATTGTAGAGAATTAGGAAGAGTGAGATGAAAGGAAGTGGATGCACTTGATTGTAGATGACTTTCTCTAGTCATCTAGTCTCTAGTGCAAGATTATTGGTAGAGAGAAGGAATGGATCAAATGAGGGTTTTTTTTCAGGGGGGGGTTTGAGGATGGAAAGTGAGCATATTTATAAGCAGTAAGGAAGAAGCCAGTGGACAGGGTGAAATTAAAGACTAATGAGAGAGTAAGGATGATAGAGGGGGCAGTTTGCTGGAGAAGAGTTAAATGGGATCAGTTGTACATGTAGAGGAGTTTTCCCTAGCAAGAAAAGTCAGCTTTTCATGTAAGAGAGGAGTAAAGGAGAAGATAGTGATAGAAGGCATTTGAGTGATGTGAGATGAGTGAAGGATGGAGTGTATAATAGGGACCTCTTGGTGACTGGCCTCAGTTTTTTCATTGAAGGTTCTCAGTTGAGAGGGAAGTGGGGAGAGAAAGCCGTGTGACATTTGAAGAGGAATGAAATGCCACTCTGGTGAATGGGATAGTGACTCCTTTAGAGTAGGCATGAAAGGATTGACTTTCCACATTGAGAGCCCAGTTGTGATTATGCAATATAAATTTGTAGCTTGGAGTCAGAAAGACCTTAGTTCAAATCTGGCCTCCGATACTTCCTAGCTGTGTGACCCTACGTAAGTCACTTAATCCTTTTTGCATCAGTTTCCTCATCTGTAAAATGAGCTGGAGAGGAAAATGGCAAACTACTCTGTGTAGTTCTTTGCCAAGAAATCTCCGAAAGGGGTCATGAAGAGTCAGACATAAGTGTAAATGACTCAACAACAACAAAATGTACAAAGGAGATAAAGATATAAATAGAATGTAGAGGAACAAAACTAAAGCATCATGGACTAAATCTCACAACTTTCCTATAAGTGACTGTGAATTTTTTAAGACAAAATTTCTCACTTGAAGGCTGCATAGATGTGGGAGAGGTGGGAGGTATCAAGAAGAAGGGCTGAAGAAGAATGAGAAATAGAGTGAAAAGGAGAGGTTGAAACAGGGAAGGAAAGGGAGTTGTCTCAACGAAAATGAGATAAGGGGTTACTCTGAAGAGCGCTCTCTCTTTTTTTAATTAAAAAAATTTAATAGCATTTTATTTTTCCCAATTACATGTGAAGACAGTTTTTAGCATTCATTTTTTTTTTAAATTTTGAATTCCTCACTATTTGACAAAAAAGTGCTGGGAAACTGGAAAATAACTATGGTAGAAACTAGGTATAGACTAATATCTTACATTATATACCAAGATAAGATCAAAATGGATATATGATTTAAACATAAAGGGTAATACCATAAGCAAATTAGAAGAGCAAAGAATAATTTATCTGTCAGATCTATGGAAAAGGGAAGAATCTGTGACCAAATGAGATAGGGCATTGTGAGATGTAAAATGGACAATTTTGATTATATTAATTGGAAAGTTTTTACATAAAACCAATGCAACAAAGATTGAAAGGAAAGCAGAAAGCTAGGAAACAATTTTTGCAGCAAGTATCTCTGATAAAGGCCTTATTTCCCAAACATATTGAGAAATGATTCAAATTATTAAGAATACAAGTCATTCCCCAATTGATAAATGGTCAAAGGATATAAACAGGCAGTTTTCAGATGAAGCTATCTCTAGTCATATGAAAAAATGCTTTAAATCACTACTGATTAGAGAAATGCAAATTAAAATAACTCTGAAGTACCACTTCACACCTATCAGATTGGCTAATATGACAGAAAAGGAAAATAATAAATGTGGAAAGGAATGTGGAAAAGTTGAGATACTAATGTGTACTGTTGGTGAAGTTGTGAACTGATCCATCCATTCTGGAGAGCAATGTGGAACAATGCCCAAAGGGCTATAAAATCCTGCATACAGTTTGACCCAGCAATACCACTACTGAGTCTACATCCCAAAGAGATAAAAAAGGGGGAGAGGGAGGCAGGAAGAAAAGGACCTATTTGTACAAAAAATATTTATGGCAGCTTTTTTTGTGGTGGCAAAAAATTGGAAATTGAGGGGATGTCCATCAACTGGGGAGTGGATGAACAAGTTGTGGTATATGATTGTAATGGAATACTATTGTGCTATAAGAAATGATGATTCAGAAAAGCCTGGAGAGACTCATTTGAACTGATGCAAAGTGAAGTGAGCAGAACCAGAACATTGTATACAGTAACAGCAGTACTGTACAATGATCAACTGTTAATGACTTAGCTCTTCTGAGCAATACAGTGATCCAAGAAAAATACCAAAGGATTCATGATGAAAAATGCTATCCATCTCCAGAGAAAGAACTGATAGAGTCTGAATGCAGATCAAAGCATACTTTTTTTACTTTCTGGATTTCTTTTCGTGTTTTTTTTTTCCTTGGGTCTGTGTGTTCTTGCACATGAATAATATGGTAATGTGTTTTGCATGATAGGATATGTATAACCTATATAAAATTGTTTACTGTCTCAGAAATGGAGAGGGGAGGGAGGGAGAGAGAAAATTTGGAACTCAAAAGTTTTTTAAATTAATGTTAAAAATTGCCTTTACGTGTAACTTGGGAAAAATAAAATAATAAAATTTTTTTGAGTTCCAAATTTTCTCCCTTCCTCCTTCCCCATTCCTCCCCTAAGATAGTAAGTAATTTGATATAGGTTATATATGTATAATTATGTAAAACATAATTCTATACTAATCACGTTGTGAAAGAAGAAACAGAACAAAAGGAGAACATGAAAAAAATAAAGCAAAAATGATATGCTTCAATCTGCATTCAGACTGCCATCAGTTTTTTCTCTAGTTGTGGATAGCATCTTTCATCACATGTCCTTTAGAATTGGCTTGGATTATTGTATTGCTGAGAATAGTTAAGTCATTCATACTTTATTAATCTTGCTGTTACTATGTAGAATATTCTTCTGGTTTTCACTTCATTTTGCATCAGTTCATGTAAGTCCAGGTCTTTCTGAAATTATCCTGCTCATCATTTCTTACAGCACAATAGTATTCCATTACATTAAAATACCACAACTTGTTCAGCCATTCCCCAACTGATGGGCATCCCCTCCATCTGAAGAGCACTCTTTATGTGGTAAGAGAAGCCTGTTGGATATGGGGACCTTGAGGGGTTTAATCTAGGTGGAATTGGTGGACAGGGTAGTTGACCTTCTCTAAGAGAGTGTTGTGCCTGTATAGACAACATCTTGCTTCAGGAGAAGGAGAAATGGAGCTCTGAGGGGCAACCAGCACACAGAAATGTGGAC